ATGAAGTCTCTAGCATGTTGCCCTCATCCAGATAAGAGCGAGAAGCAAGAAAATCAGGGTGGGGACCACCAGACCAGATGCTTTAACCTCAGGGTAAATGACATCACTGAGAAATGCAGTAGCAGCTGATAGGAATTGAAAGGGTGGTCAGAAGCCCCAAAATTTAGTATAAATGATGGAACAAATGAACAGACATTCAGCCAGCCGACACCAATGCACACAAGCTTGAGAGCCTGATGAGGACCTGGACTGACATCACAACTCTTCTCATCTGCCTGATCCTGTGTTTTCTCACTGGTCTCAAACTCTATAGCAGTCTCTTGACTCTGGTGAGAAAAGGACTTCTCCCCATGACCACCTCCTCAGCCAGCCATCAGCTCCACCCCAAGAAAAGCCTGCCTTGGTTCCTGATCTGATCACCACAGTCTGAGTGAGTGTGCATCTGCTGGACTTAGAGCATAAGGCTTGAGACTTTCGATCTGACACTTGAGCTTAGCATGCAGATGGAATGCTTGTAATGAGCATGTCATGATTAAGTGTTTGTAGTGCTTAAAATCAATCTAGAATTGTTTGCTATGAATTGATTATGTCTATTGCAGTGCCTAACATTAAGGATTGTCATTTTCTTGAGTAAGAATCTATACAGTGAAATTATATTGAGTGATTTGAGTAAATAAAGCATTGAAAAGGGAAGCGCGAGGACATTCTTCATTTCTCCCCTCGACTACATAAGTCACACCTTTTGCCCATTGTGACAGTGTTAAAGAATGAATGTTCTCACCCATAATCAGGAACAAGGCAACACTGTACCAGAAGTCTTGCTAGTGATACAAGTAGCAAAAAAGAAATAAAACTATCATTATTGGCCAATGATGTTATTGTCTATACAGGGTATCTCAAAACAATCTACATGAAGTTTCTAGACCCAATGAGTTGGGCAAGAGCAAGAAATAAGGTTAATATACAAACACCTATTGTAAATAACACAAGAAGCATGAAACACTTAGGACAAATCTGGCAAAATATATGCAAGATTTGTATGCTGAAAACTATACACCTTGAAAAGAAAAATTACAGACCTAAACAACTGAAAAGAGCCAGGCTTGAAGATGCATGCCTATAACCCCAACTACTCAGAAGACTGAGGCAGGAGGATGGCAAGTTTAGGCCAGTCTCAGCAACTCAGCAAGACCCTATCTCAAAATAAAAAAATAAAAAGGGCTGGAGATGCAGCCCAGTGATACAGCATCCTGAGTTCAGTTCCCAATACCACCAAAAATGAACAAACAAAACACCTAAAAAGATAAAATCATGCTGGGCGTGGTTGTGCACATCTGTAATCCCAATGGCTCAGGAGGTTGAGGCAGGAGATCACAGTTCAAAGCCAGCCTCAGCAATTTAGTGAGGCCCTGAACAACTTAGTGAGACCCAATCTCAAAATAAAAAGGGCTGGGGATGTGGGTCGGTGATCAAGTGCCCTAGGTTCAATCACTGGTACCAAAAATAAATAAATAAATAAAATCATACATTGGAAGATTCAGTATGGTTAGCTATCAATTCTCCCCAAATTGATCTACACATTCAATATGATCTCAATTGACAAACCTGATTCTAAAATTCATATAGGCATGATGGTACGTGCCTATAATCCTAATGACTGGGAAAGCTGAGGCAGGAGGATTATAAATTCACAAGCAATTTAGCAATGCCCAGAGCAACTTAGTGAGACCTTGTCTCAACATAAACAATAAAACTGGGCCTGGTGGCACACACCTGTAATCCCAGCAGTTTGGGAGGCTGAGGCAGGATAGCAAGTTCAAAGCCAGCCTCAGCAAAAGCAAGATACTAAGCAATTCAGTGAGGCCCCGTTTCTAAATAAAATACAAAATAGGGCTAATAAAACACAAAATAGGCCTGGAGATATGGCTCAGTGGTGGAGTGCCCCTGAGTTCAATTCCTGGTACCCAAATAAATAAATAAAAAGGATTGGAAATATAGCTCATTGGTAAAGAACACCCCTGGGTTCACTCCCCAATACCAAAAAAAAAGGAGCTAGAATAGTTAAAAAAGAAGACCAAAACTGGAAGAGTCATATTATCCAATTTCAAAACTTACTATGAAACTATAGTACTCAAGACAGTATAGAATTCAGGGTAATGATAAGATATACAGATCAATGAAACAGAACAGAATTCAGAAATATATCCATACATAAATGGATTAAATCTTTGCCAGATTTTTTTAAAATATTTTTCTTAGTGTATATCACTTTTTTTTGGGTGGGGTACCAGGGATTGAACTCAGGGGCACCTAACAGCTGAACCACATCCCCAGCCCTTTTTTTTGTATTTTATTTAGAGACAGGGTCTCACTGAGTTGCTTAGGGACTCATTAATTTGCTGGGATTACAGGTATGTGCCACTGTGTCCAGCTCTTAGTATATATCTTTTAAAAGTAAATATAAGGGCTGGAGCTTTAGCTCTGTGGTAGAATGCTTGCCTAGCACATGTGGCACTGGGTTCGATCCTCAGCACTGCATAATAAGTAAGGAAATAAAATAAAGGCATTATTGTCCATCTACAACTACAAAAAATTTTTTTAAGTAATAAATACAATAACATAAAAGAAAATGCAGTTTAAAATTTTTCAAATAATATTGATCAAGTTATTGTACTCATAAAAATTTATTCCACAGATGTACTCCCATGAGTTTAATATGATACCCACACACATATATACTCTAATAACTTATGTCTATAAGTGCTAATATGGAAAGGTGTATAAAACATATCTGCAAAACAAGCAAGTTGCAAATAATTGGCATACGTATATCTGTGTATGCATAATCACTTTTGAAAATACAAGAAACAGATAATACAATCTGAACATCCCCAATCTGAAATTCCAAGATCAGAATTGCTCCAAAATCCAAAAGTTCTTGAGCATCCAAAAACAATTTCCCACTTGAACTCATCTGACACATCACAGTCAAAATGTAGGTACACTTAAAAATACTGTATAAAATTGCCTTCAGCCAATCCTAAAGAACCAAAGGCTGAATGTCTTCTCTGATATGCAGATGCTAATTCACAATGGGTGGGGGGCTAGGGAAAAAAATAATTATTCTGGATTAGATAGAGGGGAGTGAAGGAAAGGGTAGGGGTATGGAAGTAGAAAGGATAGTAGAATAAATCAGACATTATTACCCTATGTGTATACATGATTACACGACCAGTGTAATTCTACATCATGTACAACCAGAAGAATGAGAAGTTCTGCTCCATTTATGTATGATGTGTCAAAATGCATTCTACTGTCACGTATAACTAACAGAACAAATTTTAAAAAGTTGCCTTCAGGCTACACATATATAAGGTGTATATGAAACATAAATGAATTTAGTATTTAGACTTTCATTTTCTTCTGAAGATCTCATTATGTATATGAAATTATTCCCAAACTGAAAAAATCCAAAATCCAAAACATGTCTGGTCTCAAGCATTTCATTTAAACCTATAACAGTTACTTCTGAGGTATAAGGGTGGTGAGAAATGTGAATTTTTATCTATGAGCACCTATTATTTTAATAACTTTTCTATTTTATGAATCTTTATAGAATCAGTATAAGAATACAAAACAATGGGTTGGGGATGTGGCTCAAGCGGTAACGCGCTTGCCTGGCATGCACGGGGCACTGGGTTCGATCCTCAGAACCACATAAAAATAAAAAGAATAAAGATGTCGTGTCCACTGAAAACTGAAAAATAAATATCAAAAAATTCTCTCTCTCTTTAAAAAAAAAACAAAAAAAAAAGAATACAAAACAAAACATTTCTGGCACCAAAAATGAATTTTTAAAGCATACAATGACCTAAAAATTGAACTCTCTGAGCCACCCATCTCTCTGAGTCTTTGACAAGTTGTTTATTTTTATTTTGTTTTTAGCACTGGGGATTGAACTCAGGGACACTTTGTCACAAAGATACACTTCTAGTTCTTTTATTTTTGAGACAGGGTCTTGCTAAGTTGCTCAGGCTGGCCTCGAACTTGAAATCCTCCTGCCTCAGTTTCTTGAGTCACTGGGATTTCGGGTGTGTGCCACTGATAGGTTTTTTGGTCTCTAGACTCTGAAGAAATAGCATTTGTCAGTCAAGTGAAGCATACACTAAATTCTCTATATTCTAAACTACATTTGAAATATCATGGCACAGATAACTAGTTTGAAATTTTAAAATACAAATTCACATTTAAGAAATTCTGTTTTCATATTTCAGTAATTGTGTACTGGACTAGCTTATGAGATCCATGAAGACAGGGGCCATGTTTAATACATCATGCATACATAAAGAAATGCATGACTGCATTAATGTTAAGTCAAGTCCTTCATGGTAATGTGTTTATTTACAGGCACATAAGGATTTTTGTTTTTACATATGTAATAATAGTTTGAGAAATTCACTTACACTCTATTTTCTTCAAAGTTCATCTCTAAAAATGAGGAAGCCAGGGAGTAGGAATATAATTCAGTAGCAGAATTTGCCAAAATTGCACCAAGGCCCTAGATTTGATACTCAACATATACACGCACAAAAAAGAAACTAGATTAGATTACCTTTATAATACTTTCTAGATTTTAGGATTCTTTGATTTTCTTACTTTACAGTATTGTCTCAGAGGCTTGAGACAAGATAAACATTGAGCCAACATAGACTTCTATTTCACTTTCAGCACTGTCACTCTCATACTTGGTTAGCAACTTAATTTCTAAAAGTCTCCAATTCCTTCTATACTTATGAGGATAAAAAAAATCACTTCTTCAGAGTATTATGAAATATAATTTGCATAATGCACAAAGGCATAACTACACAAATGGCAGTACCTTATAATGATAGTCTGGGCAATAATAGCAATGTCACAGAATGGAACTACTCCTGTTAAGTGATGAAGGCATTAATGTTTTGTAACAGGATTATTTATACTAAAAAGGTAGATGCACTCACTTCTGACAAAGCTGATTAAAAAGAATTTTAGGAGAAAGTGGTCCTTTTTCGGTCTCCTTCATGCTGTGAAGAAACAGGAACAAAGCTGAAGTCAGCGGTCCAGGGCTTGAAAGTTCCACCACTAATGGATCCTTTAAAAACATGACCAACTCTATGTCAGAAACACACAGTTTTAAAACATTATTTTTAAAAATCTAAGAGTTACACTTTATTTAAATGAAAACAATGAAATTGGCTAATGTATGTTAAGAAATGTTATTCCTTTATAAAATGGACATATAAAAATAGAAAATAGGATTAAATGTTTTACCTTGGAAAACAACTATTTTCATATCCGCTGCACTTTATTTAATAAATCTTGAGTTTAATCATTAATCCTTAGCTGTTTTAACTGCCCCTTAACTGGTTCTCCTATAAATAAAACTACTAATCTACTTGGTATTTTTACTTTTCCACAAATAATCATAAGTTATATTTACTAGCAAAAACTCCATACACTTCTTTTCCCCAAATATTTTAGTAAAAAAATAAGGAATGAGGAATTATGTGACAAAAATCAGTACACCGTCTTCCTCTTTTACAGAAAAACAAAGTTTGGGGCTGGGGCTCAGGCTCAGTGGCAGAGCACTTGCCTAGAATGTGTGAGGCACTGAGTTCGAGCACCGCATACAAATAAATAAAAAATAAAGGTTCATCAACAACTAAAAAAAAGAAAAACAAAGTTTGACAAAGGCAGCTAAGATTATATGAAGGATTAACCCAATTATTTTTCTCCCAAGTTTTGCTTTCTAAAATACATTATTCCCTTTGTCTTTGAAAGAACAATCTGAGATTATTTCATTGGGCTAAATGTTTTTAAAATCTCCTTTTTAATTGTTTTCAAAGGACAGATCATGAACTATCCACATACACTCTTTTCCTCTATCAAAACTCTCAATTTCTAACTAACATTATTATTTGTAGTGTCAGTGCCCTCCAGGCAAAGTCCTCCAGGAACACACTTGAATTAAGTTGATCACTTGTTGTAGTGAGGTAGAACACACACCTTGGAGAACCATGAAGTGTCCCAGTAAGAGGTTCTATAAAGAAGGATTTGGGATTTGGTTAGGTAATTTGGGGAGGGAACTAAGGAAGTGGAGATTTACTCTAAATTGGATGCCACCAGCAAATGGAGATAATGCTATACTACAACTGAGTATCTCAGTAAGTCTTATCTCAGGAGAGAGAAGGGATGAGGTTACTGGGATTTCCTCAATGGCAGATAGACCTTGTTTTTGTGTGTTTAGACCAAATTTATGAACTGATCTTGCTTTGTCTCACTTTAACACTGTCCTCAGAGAAACCTAGTGTGAGGCTTCTCTTCTGTGAGATTCTCCAAACATGGCCTCACTGTGGGAGTTAAACCAGGTTCTGAATGTCAGGGGCTCTTTTTTTATTATTGTTTTTTCTTTCTTAAAAATCCATCATCAGACTAGGCTTCAAAAGAACCTCCAGGTGCTGATTAAGTCTACTGTTAAATTTAAATAAATGTCACCAGCAACCACAAAATAGGGGTACTATTTTGCTCAACAAGTCAAACCTGTTTTACTTTTTGCGTTTGTTTAAAAGCTGCCTCAATATATTCACATTGTTTGATCTATGATATTTGAACAATAACTTATATTTTCATATACTTTTTTACATATTTTCACAAAATGCTTTTGAATTCTCTTTTTTAAAAAAGTCTTCTGACTCCTATCCCAATTGATAGTTCTGAGAAATAAGACACTTTGGGAACATCAGCAGCTGATCTGAAAACAGCCATTATCCAGATAGTATACTTCTTACTCACCAACTGAGACTCTGAGGAAGGAGAAATCTTGAATTTTGTACCATCTTCTTTTATCTCATTCATCAGCTCAAAAAGTATGTAAGTCTGGGCCAAGTTCTAAAAGAGAGTAAAGTCTTCTGATTCAGTTACATTATGCCTCTAATCTTACGAAATGAATATTCTCTCAAAGTGTCAAATTTCGGGCTGGGGATGTGGCTCAAGTGGTAGCGTGTTCGCCTAGCATGCGTGAGGCACTGGGTTCGATTCTCAGCACCACATAAAAATACACCACATAAAAATAAAGATATTGTGTCCATCTAAAACTAAAAAATAAATATTAAAAGAAAGTGTCAAATTTCATCCAGCATAGCAAAATTTCTATTTAAAACATTTTAATCTGAAATGAGTACATTTCATATTTAGTAAATGTCACTATTACTGATGAAACCATGGTAAAACACATAGAAGGCCTTTCGGAAGAACTGTGTAAAAGGTTTATGCATATGGTGATGGCCAAAGACAGCCTACAATAAAAAGAAAGCAGAAAGAAATTTTTAGTAAACATTCAGCAGTCGTTCAATCACTTAAAGGTATGCTGAATGCCCATTTAATTAAAAATTCTTTATATTTTATTAATCTTTGGTGACATTTACCTGAATGACTGCATTAAAAAAGCAAGTATTTCCTAAATTTATAATTCCTTTTACAGATGGTACACTGCTGCCTTTTCTTCCCTTCTTTATTTCACCTGCTTCAAATTTTTCTTCACAGAGTTTTAGGATTCTTGAAAATGCATCTACAAGTTAAAGAAAACAAAACTGACATGAGACATAAAATTTTAAGTGTCACTTGACAATGTAAATATATTATTTAAAATTAAATAAGATTATCTCTCTGAATCAGTGTTCCTAAAAGACAAACACAAATGTCTTTGATTTTCTATCTTATCACTATGAAATTCATTTTAATGTACAGATCTATGCCTCACATCACATAAATAAATTCTAGATGAATTTTAAAAGTATATGTAAAGAAATATAGTAAAAAAAAAAAAAGTAGAAAAGATCTAGCTTCTAAAGGTTGGAGATGTAGCTTTGTAGTAGAGTATTTGCCTAGCATGTTTGAAGTCCTGGGTTTAGTACCCAGCGGGGGGGGCGGGGGGGGGGGGGTAGTTTCTAAATACCACTCTCCACTAAAAGGAATGAGGATTGATAGGGCAGGAAAGATGCAAAATAAGCCTATAACATTTCTCTTGTATCAAAGAATAAGAAAGTATTCAAAAATAGTGGGACTATATCAAAATACACAGGCACCATACTGAATAGATTCCTACTGCCCAATGTAGTAGGGTAGTATAATGGATTATTACACATAGAATGTGTCTGAATAGGTAATGGATTTTTTTAAAAGGGGGAAAAGGAAAGAGCAGTTCCTTAGAAATGACAACTAATAAACAAAAGAAATGAAGGATCAAAAAAATCAGCATCTTATAGTGGTAATTTTTTTCTATTATTCTTGCAACTTTCCTGTGAATTTGAACTTGTCAAAATTCAAAGTTTAAAAAAAAATAGTGCCATAGTATAATACAAAAAGTAAAATACCACGGCTGGGGCTATAGCTCAGTGGCAGAGCACTTGTCTTACACATGTGAAGCACTGGGTTTGATCCTCAGCACCGCATAAAAATAAATAAATAAAATAAACACATGTTGTCCATCTACAACTACAAAAAAAAAATTTTTTAAAAGTAAAATACCAAGTGTACAATAAATAGCTGTTCTGTGCTGTTAATATAGACCTGAAGGTTACATTACCAGCTCATGTTTAATAACAACGAAGAAGCCCTAAAATTAATGAATTGAAATGGTCACTATACATCTCTCTGGATTACTTTTAGTAGCTAATACATAAATGTAAATAGTTGTTATACCACCAAGTATCAAGTACAACACATTTTCTCATAGTTTTCATAAGTATTTAATGAGCTAACAACTGCAAAGTGCCTAGCATGGTAACCACTATGTATTTGAAAAACAGCTCTGAGAATCTCCTCAAAAATGCAATTTGTGGGGCTGGGACTATAGCTCGGTGACAGAGGATTTACCTAGCATACAAGAGGCACTGGGTTTGATCCTTAGCACCACATAAAAATAAACAAAATAATGACATGCTATCAACCTACAACTAAAAATTTTTTTTTCAAAATGCAATTTGTGCCAAAATCCACATCTTTGTGAGCCATTCTTCATGTCCATTGTTTATCTGATCTCCCTTTTTTCTTTCTTTAATCATTTCCTACACATTCTGAATATTTGTTCTCTCAAGGTTATTTCTGATTGAATTTTCTGAATTGCTGATATCTGTTTTGTGTTTCATATTGAATTTGTGTTTTTCAAATATCTTGTCTTCTTTCTTTCCTTCTTTTGTGTGTGCGTGGGGTGGGAGGCGCTAGGGCTTGAACCCAGGACCTCATTCATGCTACACAAGGGCTCTACTATTGAGCCCCATACTAGCCTAGCCCAACTTTTCTTTTTAAATCGTGGAAATAGGCCTGGAGTTGTAGTTCAGTGGTTCAGCATTTGCCTGGCATGTGTGAGGCACTGGGTTCAATTCTCAGAACCGCTTACAAATAAATAAATAAATAAATAAATAAAATTAAGGTCTACTGACAACTAAAAAAAAAATTTTTTTAAATGTGGAAATCTCTCATGAAATGGTAGTTTCTAATATTTTTTTCAGCAAGCAAATCTTTTTCATAGAAAATATTTTTCTTCCAATTCTGTAAACATTTTTTTGGGGGAGAGGGTAAACCTTATCAACTGTTTCTCCCTTTATTTTGGTTTGTTTTTTATAAAAAAAAAAATTATTAGTAATTATTGGATATCTGTTATCCAGATATTAAGGAGTCATTTTTAAATCCCAACCCCAGAATCCTAAGTTAATGCAGAAAATAGGTCTCTTCTGTCCTCCACATATTGAAATAAGTGATGAGAAATGAAGCCTATACTACAGCTTAGAGCATAGGCCACTAAAATCAATGAAGCAGCTCACTGAAGTATAGAGGCATGAGGAAAAGGAAAAGGCAGAAGAGACCAACAGTATTCAAACCTACCAGTGAATACAAAGGCAAATGAAAAAAGTCAACACTTTAGAAACAGTACACAGAGGAAGCCTGATATGGATCCTCGCTGGGTTTGTAGACAGAACCGTCTGCCTCTTATTTATGTCTGGAATTCCAATTAGAACCTAAAATGGGCACGTTTTAGACTCTCATTATATCTGTTGCAAATAGATAGTTTCACAGTGATTTTTGTATGTTAGGTATATGCATTCACAGTTATTTTTAAGAAATTTAAAATCAAAGAATAATCAAATCCAAGCCTCACTCCATCTTTTCAGATAAGGTAGTTAACTCTGATTTTTACATTTATAAAACTTAGTCCCAGACAGGTTAAACGACTTACTTACAGTCACAGTGATAATTTTCTGATTACAAATCCATTGTCATTTTACCACTTAAATCCTCACCCATTATTTATGTACAATGAGATTAATTATAAAAAATAGTGGGGCAAAATTTTTGTAGATATGGGCATTGGCAACCCCAAACAAATATGATTCCTCAAAGTATTTCCCTAACATTCTTAATAAATATCGCCCTAATGCCTTTTAGCTTTTTAACATGAAAACAGAATAGTTGGGAAAAATAAACTATAGATTATAACTATATATAAATATAAAATACACATTATTCACTTGGAAAAATACTCTCAGAAAATTATATTTTAATCGCAAAAAAACCCCAATATTTTAAAAACCATAACATGCAAATAATTTACATGTCTGTGTACCACATTTATTTGTCAGTTTTCAAAACATCTGGGATGGCATACCAAAGTAAACAATGTTCATAAGACCATCTGGACAGAACTGCAGGCAAAAAAAAAGCATAAACATATGGAAAAACAGATTTTCCCCTTCCTTTCAGCAGTAAGGGATGACAAATGTCAAACTTAGATATATCCACGCTTCACTGTGCGATGCTTTTCAGCACCACCTGGCTCTCCATGCATAGCCACCAAATATGGACAGCACTGCCAGAAAGAACATATCCACAGGGCAATGGCAATAAAAACAGTTTATTTCATGGTTAAATAGCCTCTTCACACAAGTGGCAAGGGTCTGTTTGTTGACTTTTACATTAAGTCTATGAGAAAATATTTAAGATTAATCTTATTAGACTTGAATATTAAACAAATCAGTTAATTTAACTAACTAGAAAACAGAATAACATTTTCTAAGATACTAAAATACTTGTAAAAATGCCTTTTTTAACAAGTATTTTATTTAAAGTAAAAGCGCAAGTTTTTTAAACTTTACCAATAGCACAGTTATAATATATAACAATTTAAATTAAATTGATTCACAAATGTCCATTGTGTTCAGGTACTATATAAACCATTACATTTATATGCTTATGGTTTATGACTGAAGTAAAAGGAATTGATACATAATAGAGAGATGTTAAGCATTAAATTTATAACAATATTTCAGCAAAACTTCTAGAAACTAAGAATATATATTTGTATATATGTTCATTAAAAAATGCCCAGAGTTAACAGTCTAGTTTAAAATAGGGGTTCTGAATCAGACTTTTAATATTTGACATACATGAAGGTATATGTTTTAATAAGAAGCAATTAATAATTTCTAAGAATGATTCTGATTATTTTGTTTGTAGAGACAAAAAAGCTTTCTCCATCTGGCAGTGCAAATATTTTAGATCATTTTCACTTTTAAGAACTCTCTTCTTCCTTTTATAAATATAGAATCAAATACCTTAAGACTAAACTTCTAGATGTTTTGAAGTATGGTATAATTAAATGGACAAAGCTGCTACAACACCAACAAGTAAGACAAACTATACAAAATTTTGATTATCATTTCATTTGTTCAATCATCACCTATGAAAAAGTGGTGCCCATAATTAGAAAGAGTAATCACAGAAAATTTCAATGTTATTTTATTTGAAAGGATTTAATCTACTTAACCTTCCTTATTACTTCTATATTACCAACACTGTATTCTGATATTCCTTTTCCTAATAGAATAATATAGACCCAGAAGGCAAAGTACACTGAGAGAAAACTTGGGAGACTGGGGGGGGGGGGGCCTGAATTGATTCCAAGGCCTATGAAAGTGCTCTCCCACTGTGCTACACCCTCTGCTCTCCAGCTAAATTTCTTAAAGTCCTTTTACATTTCTGTAGTTTACCTTAAAGCCTATAATCTGAGTGTCAAAGAACAGCTGCTTAATTGAATAGACCCATAGGTTTTGTACATACCTCAGGTCTTGCAAGACAGAAAACTGTCTGAAGTACCAACAAAGTAAAACAAACAAACAACAACAACAAAAACAAACAAACAAAAAAACTGGTAATCTTAGATAAAATTCAAATTTTTCTAGCATAAAAATAATTTAAACGCTTAAAGACCATACAACTGTCATTTTTAGAAACCAAGTTTAAGGTTATTAAATGAATAATAAATATATTTTGAAAAGTCTTTGGGCTGAGGTGTAGCTTGATGACAAAGCACTTGCACAAGAGAGGCCCAGGGTTAGAGCCCCAGCAAAAATAACAATAACAAAATGATAATAATAAGGTCCCAGAAAATTTTAAGTCACTATTCTTTATAATCTTAGAGAGCAAAAAGACTTTCAAAGCATGACCCTAAAAGCTAAAAACATATATAGGAAAGACTGATGGGCCTTGGAATAATGACATTAAAAACTTCAT